ATTAGGCTCAAGAAAACAATAAAGTAATTATTGACTGGGCATAATTTAACCTTTAAAATTAAAAACTCATGAAAAGGAATAAAACTTATCTGTGCTTTATTAATAGGAAAGCATACATCATTTATCTTGTATCCCAAATGGCTGAAGCACCACCAAAGCAGTGTCACCTATGTGGCAAGAGAGCTGATGGCCAGTTAAGTTCCGTAACTAGCAGGAAAGATGAATATCAGTCTTTTATTTTCCGCCATTTGCCAAACACAACTCATAACCGAAGTGCAGCAATATTTGCTTGTAAAAAACATTACCTTGAAGCAAGTCGATACCATCATAAACCAAATTATGTTCCTAAATGGAAAGAAAATCATATGGAAAAGCCATTAATAAATTGCATGCATCCTCAATGCCAAAATACATCAAGAAATAACAACATCATTAATGTCAGATTTACATCTAAGTCAAAAATTGAAGAAATTTTAGGCAAACTATACGTGTATATGCATGTATATATATATCTCATAATTATGACATCATCCTTTGATGTGATCGGGTTTATATTTTTGTATATATACCTGCCATTCAGAAATGCTGTCATCATTATGAAATATGATGTGTGTGATGTGTGGTACCTGGAAATATGCATGGTACAATTTCATCTTAGAATAGAAACTAACTCGAAAATGCCATTTTTACCATCTATGATACATGCACTATCATTATACAATACCTTCAGCTTTGCCTATCTCACTGCTTAACTGTTATGAAAAAGAATAAAGGAGCCAAAAGCATTCAACCACACGCAAACTAGCCAAAATGTAAGTAAGAATAATAAAATCATATATTTTACTTTCATAAATTTAAATAAACAGTTAAAAGAGTCTACATCAGTCAATATGAGATAATAGCTGTGTCGTACAGAGGAGTTAAGATGCTCTCCAAAAGAGCCTCATTACACTCCGCCATTAAGGTGCCACGCCCACTTCCTTGAAGATAAATTATAAGATTTTCAGGGGGTTGCGACTCGACTGTTTACATGTGGAAATACAATGATTTATTTAAGGATGTAGTCATTGTACTTAATTCATGCATCTATTAATTTGTATAATCACACTATACATGTATAATATACTAGTTAATTTAAATTTATTTAATCCAAATTTTCAGCGAGAAACACTGTCCCACTTCACATGCTGCTAATGTAGCAGGAACAGTGAAAACCTTGAATCAAGCTGTGCTAGCAAGTCATACCACTCTATGAGTGGAAGTTGCTATTGATTAGAAGGTGATTACAGCTGTCAAGTGTCATTTATACACATGCTCCATGCACACATGATAACTATCATGATAGTTAGAATAACAGTATCACTATCAGGATAGCTGTACACTGACTATCTATACTGTCGCCCAGCCATAATTTATGTATTATCTTATATGAAGTTTCTTTTCATATTTATTTTTAGTGAAGAATATTTTAAATGAAGATTCTCCAGGTATTATATTATTATCACTCAATAAATATATTTCATGTATTTTTACTGACATTTGGTGAATGGTGGAACATTTCAGCTGTCACACGTCATTGAGAATATTATGAATAATGAAATAAAAATTTATTGACAGTTTCTTTACCAATTTACAAAATTAATAATATTAATGTTTTTTATTAATTAGTTTTTTCAATTTTAAATAATTTTTGTCTGTAGAGTTACGCCACTATCGTGAAGCACTCAAGACTATCGTGAGGTGCCATCTTACTAAAGCTGTAGTTCAA